CTAAAAAAAGCATTCACTTACCTATATCATCCTGAGGCATTTTTGTTCGGTAGAGTTCAGCATTTAAGCAGACAGCAATAAACTGGATTTTATATACTGCCACGTAAAGCATATTTTGAGTTGAAATGTGGTTTTCATTAAATTTCAGGCCAGAACATTTAGCAGAGCCTGATTGTCTGCCATCCTTTGTTCTTTTGTTGCCAACAACTACTTTATTAAACCACACACAAAAAATGAGTATTAAGCAGTCCTGTAAACTTAAAAAAAGCAAAGAGAATTGGAGTGAAGTTTGAAAGAACAACTTCTGTCTACCCTCTTGTGCCTAGGTGGAGTTGCACAATGCCTGTGTGCCCACTGTTCCAGAACTTAACCTCCTGGGTTAAGTTATGAATGGGTTTTACTGTCTAGAGATTATTCCATACACTTAATGTTACTTAATTTTTTCTCTTAAGTGATTCAGTTCATTTTGTTTTAAATACATATTATTTAAAATTGCGAAGTTACTATCTGAAACTGGGGGAAAGCTAAGACTATCCTCTGAAACTTAGTTGGAGTTCATGATTTGCTACTCAAACCATGATGTGTAAGGATCTGTTCATTACCGCTGCATAAATTCAGCTCATAAACAGTAATCAATTTATGAAGAACATACCTTTGTCTTAAGGAATGTGTTTAGTTATGCGGCACGTGTTTAATATGAAATGCATTACTGATATGTTCTTTGAATATTCATGTGTTCATTTTGGATCAAAAGGTATAGATTGCATTACATAATTTTAAAAATCTAAATTAGCTTCAGTTATAATGGCATGTGCCATAGCTAGTTTTAAAGTGGTACTATGTCAGAATTAATACTATTTTTCATTTTGAGCTCCTGGTAGACAGAAGTACAATTTTTCGTTTCTTTATTTTCCAGCAACCACATTTTAGTGCGTTAAAAAAAAAGCAGAAACAAATAATAACTCTTAACGAAAGAATGAGACCTGGGCTGACAAACTTGTATACCAAGTTTCCAGAACAAGCATATTTATATGGCTATGCTATAAACCCCTGGATACATAGAGTATATATTGGAAATGTTGACCCTTTATCATTTCCGTATTTATTACTAGTACCGTTTTAATAAGGGAACCCAAACTTCACCTTAACAAATCTGATGACTGAAGTGTAAGAGTGTCAACAGGGCTAAGGTGCTGGAATTTTCATTACGTGTGCTCTTGCTGTACAGTAGTGCTGAAGTGAAATGTTTGAAGTTGCTAGTAAGAAATTATATAAAAACTCAGTGCTCTTAATTAAATATTAGCTGTAATTAGCACTAAGTGTGAATGCTAAGAATATTAATTAGGGTCTCATGGAACTGCTGTCAGTGTTAATGAGAAACAGTGGGGGTCTCAGCAACATCTGTTTTAGAACTCAAGGTAGTATAAAAAGCTTTAGATCAAATGCACCTGGACATTAGCTGTTGGTCCCTTTGTTGCCATTATTGTTCTTTTTTAACATCTGCTGACTGTGTCATGTCTAACAACTGACATGAAGAAATAGCTTATAGACCAGCTACTGTTCTTCAGAACCAATACAGTCATTATTTTGAGGTGGAATTTTCATTTGCTGATGCCAGTTTCTTCCACATAATAAAGTCTGTCCTAGAATATTTAATGTTTGCATTTTCAGTACTTTCAAATACCCCAACTTCAGCTCCAACTTCAGTAATTTTAAAACATTAAAATTTTCTCAGTAACAGCTAATAGTTGGTAGGCACATGTGGAGTCCATTCATTGGTGCATTTTAGTATGTATGGTTTATTATTTTTCATTTACAAAAACACTGTTTTATATTAATAACAGATGATTAAAGAAAAATTAAAGGAAAGCATGGGCAAATGTATATGTTCCCTAAACAGCTTGTAGAATGTATATTTTCCTTTTTTTTTAATTTAAGTTTTGAAAGTTTCTCAGTGTAGCAACACAACTTTCCATTTTTGTTTGCACTCGTAATAACAGAACAATATGTTTTTCACTTTCAAAGCATCATACAAATATGAATTAATTTCACAACAGAACCCTGAAAAGTAGGAAAATGTCATTATTTTCATTTTTAAAATAGTGAAATGAAGCAGAAAGTATAAATAACTTGCCCCGGGGCCACACTAACTTACTGGTGAAGACAGGATTAAAATTCAGGAGTTCCTAGCATCATGCTTAATCCATTAAAATGCCACGACTTTTTCTTAGGAAAAGCATACTTTCCCCCTCTGAATCTACCAAGTGCCCAGCAGCTGTGGTAGTGTACTGATTAGAAAATCTTCAAAGCTTCTGAGTTTGGGCTCAATTTAAACAAGCAGTCCCTCATTTAGATGTTTATTTCAATCAGCTGAAACTGGCTGGAAATCTTTGGTGTGAAATATCCCATAAATTCCTTTACACTTCAGGCCTTGGCTTAAACTAGGAAATGTAAGCAAAAACAAGAACGAAAATGTGTGTGCGTCTGCTCACGCCCTTTTGGTGGGAAGGTAGTTACATATTTCAGAACATAATTACAAATTTGGTTTCATGTTAGTTTTGAGGCTTGTGAACCTATTGTGTTAGCAAAGGTCTAGTCCTTTGCACATCACTTAGCATATCCTTTGCATTGAGCAAAGGGCTTGCGATCTGTGTTGCTATTCTTTCCCACTTGCTACTGTGATACAGTAGCCACCATGGTGTATCCAGACACTGCCATCTTTGGCATCAAGATTTGTGCATCTCTTAAATGCACAAGCATGTCTTGTTAAAGGTTTTCTTCCCTAGCCTCAAGTTGTCATATCATTATGGTCAAAAAATTTAGGCAGAGACTATTACAAATACTTATGTTAAATACTTGTGAACGTTTTTGACATATGCTTGCCCCTGTGGGATTATATCAAAGCTAAAGATGAATCTAATTGCCCGTGCAAGATATAAGATGCCTCCATTTGGTCTTTTACTTGTAAGATCTTATTTTTAATACATAAAAGTAAAATCATAATTAGCAAAATGATATGATACTTTAAGGTCTTGCATATATTTTCTGCAATATTACCATATCATTTTTTTCAGTGTTTTCCTCAAATGGGTTTTAAGTTGGGGCCTTTATAGTTCTGTATTTTGATATTGCGGTTCTAAGATTGAATTGAATCATTATATTATATCGTTGCACTGTAGTACAGGATAAACTTTTGTTTAATAGTTTTGTGTTAATAGTTTTAGATTAATAATTATTTACTAATCTAAAATAGTACTCTGCATCTCAGATAGCATCATTTTTTACAGATACTTAGAACTCCATTAACAGGGTGTGTCATCTATTCCCATTCATTGATTTGTATTTTAGGTTGGGTATATCTGTTCAGAAAATTAGAAAATCATGAGGCAGTATGCACGTGATAAATGCTGTTGCTGTTTTTGGAACAAGTGGATTTATAGCGGTTAAATGTTTGAGTTAAAGTTGTGAAAGATGTGGACTAGAATTTACTAATTTACATACTTATTCCTCTTTCCAGTGGCACATTAAGATTTATTGGGGCACTGCACAAACAGAAAATTGGAGCTCCCCAGTTCCGCCCCCCCGCCCCCCAGGGCATCAGGCAAGGGCAGGTTCCCTCTGTCCCTGCCAGGGGTCTGTGGCTGAGCCTGCCTAGCCTCCTTGGTGTGTCTGGGGCAAGCCAGGGGGCACAAGAACCCCTCTGCCCAGTGGGTGTCACACAGCCAGAGGTGCAATCCCCCGGCTCTGCAGGATGGGCTGGGACCAGGGCCACCTGGCGGGGTAGGCATGAGCTCTGCCCAGGGCTGCTCACCTGCCCCTCTGCCCATCCCTCTGCTGGTCTGGGTGGGGCGGGGCTGTCCCAATCTGCTCCAGGGACTCTGGTGCCGGCGACCTCCCACAGATGACAAGGACCAGAAGTGGGACTGGCAGCAGATGGCCCCAGAAAGCTGCTGCTGCCTGCTGGGAGTCCTGTGCCCATCCCTAACCCCTGGCCCCAGCCTGGCCAAAGGAGAGGAGGCACACACTGCCAACAGCCCAGATGCCCACCTGGGCTGTGCTGCCCCTGGTGCCCCTGGGAGCCCCTATGTTGGCAGGGGCTCTGCGGGCCTGTGCATTATTCTGCCCCTGCCTCATTCTTTTCTCTTGGGGTTTCAGTTTTTGTGGTCTTCCTTGGTATCCAGAAGGTCTCACTGTTACGTCAAAATTAAGCCTAACAGCCCACAAGGCTAGTTTGGTTAAGACACAGCAGTTTCTATGCCCAATAACACATAAGGGCAAACATTAGATCTGGCTGCCTTTGACTCCCCAGCCTGAATGATTAGGCATCTCTTTCCAGTTGGGTTGACTGGGAGGTTGCTTTTGATGGGAGTCTGAAGTGAGGCTTTGAACTAGTGCCTGGTGAAGCCATTGCAGGACACCCTGTCCAGCCACTATACTCCTTCAGTGCTGTGTTGGAAACTGTGATTTCACTTTTCTAAGACTAGGTTTTTAACAGTGGGGATAAACAGAGTTAAATCAGAGAGGATACACCTTTCAAGGGAAAGAAACTTAGCATATCTACAGATCTTGCAGAGTGTCTTTATTTTAAAAATTATTTTCTCTTATTCCAGTTTTATCTTTGGTATCTTTTCAGGGTAATCAGGAAGCTACAGCACCTCCTGACACAATGGCGCAGCCTTATGCCTCAGCCCAGTTTGCTCCACCTCAGAATGGTATCCCTGCAGAATACACAGCCCCACACCCTCATCCCGCTCCAGACTACACAGGCCAGACCACTGTTCCAGAGCACACGTTAAACATGTACCCTCCTGCTCAGACACACTCTGAACAGAGTGCAGCTGACACAAATGCACAAACTGTCTCCGGCACAGCTACAGTAAGTTCAAGTTTCATCTATTTTAAAACCGTGTATCTCAAGTTACAAATGTGCCTGTGGGTAACAACCAGCTCATATGTTGTGTTTAACAGTTTAAAACTTGGATGGTATGTGGAATATTCAACGATAAAGGGTGCAAAATAGGCCCATTTTTTTTTCCTTTGAACATTGAGGATACTATTTGTTTAATTGTGGTGCCTCTAATGAAGGGCTCCATGGCATTTGCTGGCACATATCCAAAATCTTTTTATTCTGGAGTGTTCAAATATACCAAATTATAAATAAGCAGCACGCAGGTGAATGATTGTATAAAGTTTAACCTGTTTAGAAGTCAGTAAATGCTGTTAAAATATTCTTAAATATTTACTTGAAGTAAAACCATGAATTTGTTTTGTTTATGTGACCTGCTTTTATTCATTTGTCGCAAGCATTTCTTTTAATTAAACTTTATTCTCAGGAATGTTCACTTAATGGGATAATGTGGCAAATATTTGAGAAACTATGTATTTGCAAGTGACTACTCAAAATGGGAGTTGGCAACATCACAAAAAATATTTATGTAGCCATATTGAAATCAGTACACCAATCTGGAGTTCATGAAATCATGGAGCAAAACAACACTGCATGACTCACCTGTCCAGTCTGTGCAAATACCAGATTGTTAATGGTGAATGCATACGGGATAGTGTGTGACTACATCATGTTTTGAATTGTGAGTATGTGGGGAAAAATATAATTTCAGAAGTACATTTTACTGCTTTGCAGGATTGGAATGAATGTAATTTTAAATGGCGATCAATGTTTGGTGCCAAAAACTCACTTTTTGAACGTCAGAACCCACTAACGTGCTGATGAAACTGATCACCCAAAAGCTGAATTTCTCAAAATCCCTCACTTTTGAAATCCTAAACCAAATTCAGATCATTATAATGTTGAATTATTGATGGCATAGTTTGGCAGATATCGCAACTGTGAGCCTCAGTTGTTATTGTCTGCATTTCTTTGTTTAGGGCAAAGTGATTCTAACAATGTCTTCCTCAAAATATCTCATCCTTGAATAACAGTTAATGTTGCTAAGGCACTCTCTGTAGGTTGTGGAAAGGTGAGAGTATTTCCCACAGAAACTAAAATAAAAGCCTTATTGATGGGGAAAATGTCACCCACCCCGTCCTATCTTTCACCTGTTTTAAGGTATTTAATATCTTTATCATATAATAACTTTTATACTAATTTAAGAATGACGCTAATATGATGGAGAATGAGAATCAACATATGTCATATATACCACGTACAGAAACACAGGAATTGCCATAATATAGTAGGCTAGTGGTCTACCTAGGTCACTGCCATATATGTATGTCGTTGGTCAATAGCATGTATTTTTGAGTAATACCAAGAAACCATGTAACACAGGGGTTCTCAATCTGTGGGTTGCAGGGGGTATGTGCAGCAGCTCAGGGAAGCGGCAGTGGCGTAGAGTGGTGGATGGCAGCGGCGGCTGCTGTGTACAAGTTCCCCTTCCCCTGCCACCGCCATTCAGCACTCGGTCACAGTATCACAAAGTTTGAGAGCCCCTGCTATAATGGATAATTATGACAGAATCTGCTTGTATAAGCAACTCTTCTCGTAGTGGCTGGAAGAAATTCATCAGTATCAAAACTGCAGCTAAATCACGCGTCTTATACTCACAAATATTAGTATTTCTCGTCTTTTCAAAAATCAAATATTTTGCTGATAATATGATGATGAACATTTTCCTTTTGTAACATCCAGTCCTTTAAGGCCTCTGCATGCAAAGATTTCTTGTGGCAGTTAATTTCTCAGTTTAGGATTAGCACAGTATAGTGTTTTCTGTTATCAGTTTATCATGTTTCATGTCTTTCAGTGTCATTAAGCATCCCCTTGTTCTTGAATTATAAGAAAGGTTAAGTAGAGGAGTATTCTATGTACCTTCATCATACCATTCATTAATCAGTATACCTCTAATACTACACCCCTTTTTCATCTCTTCATTAAGGCAAACAGTCTCTCTTAAAAGCTTTCCAGCTTCTCTGCTTTCCATGCATCTAGTAGGTTTTGTCAGCTGTTTCTGTGTACACTTAGTTTCTTCTACAGTGCCCAAAACTGAACACAATATTCCAGATGAGATTATACAATGATTTATAAAATAGCATAATTTTTCTGTCATTTCTGTCCTTTTCCTCATATATTCTCCAACTTGGTTTATTGTCGTGATCATTGCAGCACCTCATGTTGTTCCCAATGAAAACTTAGTCCTTCCATTTGCTTGGAACTCTAGGGCTTATATCATTCAGCCCTAAGGTGAAATCCTGGCCCTGTTTAAGTCATTGGCAGAACTCCCACTGATTTCATTGGAGCCAGTACTTGGTCCTTACTGACCTGTTCTGAAATTTATCATTGTGTTCCACTACCTCTTTTTTGATGCTTCATTCTGGAAAACATCTAGCCTTTTTTGTCAAAAAAAGAACAGAGGAGGGATAGGCATCTCCCCAGTATCTTGACTGAAGGCAGATGAAAGGAACTTATTTGCCTTGACCGCAGTTGCTCCTTTTAATCTTTGCTGCAGCAGATCCAGTGACTTCTTTAATGGTTTCCTGGTTCTGATACACTTACGCAGTTCCTTGTTGCTTGTTTTATGTGTCTGGCTATCTTCTCTTCATATTCCTTCTCAGCTCTCCTAATTTCCTTCCTATAGCTGTTTCTTTTGACATAGACTAAATTTCTATCTCTGGAGAATAACACTATGACTCAAATAACCTCTTGTACTTTGCCAAATTACCATACTTGTAGAGTTCATGTTATTACGGATCTTTGCTTCCCTTCCTGCTTCCTTCCTTATGGAGGAATCTGCATATCTTCTTTGTCGAAGTAGCTTCATGCTGTGTGTAAAAGATGTTAATTTCTTTGGTTTTGACCTTAGGGTTTTCTTGAGGAGCTATCACATTTTTCTTAAATCGTTTTCTGAATTTTGATGTCACTGTGAAAGTTGTTGGTATAAGCACTTCCTGAAAGTAAAAATAGGCAACAGTCAGTCCTCTGGATCATGGTCTATGCATGAGAGGTCTAGTCAGGTGCCTGATGAATCTGTCTGTGGCTGACAAGCCCAGTTCGAGAGTGACATAGCTTGTTACAAGTTTCACAAATTCCTGGAATAACAAATAGAGATTTACAGTTAGTAAATTCCCTAAGGATTTGCATTACTTACCTGTAATTGGGGACCCTATTCTTGTTACAGGGGAAGAGATGAGAGACAAGAAGAATGTGAAAGACCCCTTTAAAACTAGGGTAGGGGGAAGGTTGCCCTCATTCAGGCAAGGACCTAAGAGGGAACTAGACTCTCAAGAGATCCATGGTGTTGTAAGCCAAAAAAAGACAGTTACTTGCATCTGGAGGCAGTCCTGGGGAGGAGGCACCTAGGGCCACAGAAAACCCACCTGCTAGGGTAAGCACCTTGCCTAGCAATTGAGAGGAAGCTACAAACTGCAAGCAGAAACAGGGGCATTCAAACAAGAAAGGCTGACTCTAGACTGTGGATTTGCCTTTGTTAGGTGCCCTAAAATGAGATAATAGGAAGTCCCTGCACTGGAGTTGGGCAGTAAAAATTGGCTGACTGACATGGGAGGGGCTGGCCTGCATTTATAGGCTTGCCTCCAGGTTAGGGAGTCATTGTGGCCCTGACTGGAGGAGACCAGAACTTGCCTGCAAAAGACAGGTGGAACTTGAATCCAAGAGGAGGAGAGGAACATCTGGCTGCTGGTGGGTGCATCCAAAGGGGTGAGGACTTGACTGAGGACTGTTAGTTCTCACCTGGCAGGGGAAAGGAGGGAGGGTTGAGATTTTTGTTGAGGACTGTTTCGGTACCCAGGGGGCTTATTCCACCCCCCCAACCCCCCTTTATAACCACCAGAGGCCCAGGAGGAGCTGTGAGGGGTGGTTTAGGAGGTCATATAGCAGAATGTTCTACGATGCTGTGATGTTTCTTTTTGGTTTTTTCTGCAAGGAATGAGCTGGAGTAGAGAGGGGCTAAAGCCACAAGGCTGCAGCCTGGATCCAGAAAGGAGGAGTCTGCTGAGCTAATACTCAAGCAGGTGAGGCTGAAGCCAGGGCCCAGGAAAGGGACCCACAGTCTGAAACAAGGATGGTGAAGGAGACCCAGTAAACAGAGACTAAGCAAAACCTGAGGCATGGGCATAGCTACGGGGGTGGCTAGAGGCCATGATTATTGGCCTTAAGGCAGCTAGGGCCTGTAGGGCCATGACTAGAGCTAGTAGAGCAAGGGAGATGGAGGAAGCACCAGAGACTTATCCAGGTTGGGGGACAGTACTACTGGACTCTCCTTTTTTAAGACAGGGGACAACTTTCCCAAATACAAGGTGTGACAAGCAAGTGTAGAAAGGGAAGAGGATCAGAAGGGATCTGAGGAGTGTAGGACTAGCTCACAGGCAAGCCTGTCATGACCACACTCTGGTTGGGCTATGTCACATTAACATAGCCCCAGTGTGGAACATGTTTCTTAACTGCCAAGAAGTCTTCTAGGACTTTGCAGTCAGACTTTATTTGTTCAAATCATAATGGGTTTCCTGTTCTGAAATCAGTTACAGTTGGCCTTGTAATTTTCTTCTGTTTTATGGCTTCCCGTCATGCTTGTTAACATATGCTAAAAACATTATAAAGAAACACATGCAGATGGACCTATTATCCAGGTAAAGTCTAGAGTTTTGAGATAGTCTTTGTGAAATTATCATCAGGGTGTAGCTGTGGACAGTTCTTTATGGGGCAGGGTTTTAATAGGACATGTTTTGACCAAGACACAACAATAATATTACTGTGCTAAATACTTGCATCTGAAGGGGAATATGCTTATGTATATTTTGACTGCTAGCTAATATTTTGGACAGTGAATTTCTGGACTATTGGAATGTTAGGGGAATTATGTGGAATTGATGCTTTTGGGTTCGAGTCAAAGATGTTCATCTACA